GACTTTTTTTTTTTAATATTTTATTTATTTATTTGACAAATAAATAGAGAGCACAAGTAGGCAGAGTGGCAGGCAGAGGGAGAGGGAGAAGCAGGCTTTCCCCTGAGCAGGGAGCCGGACGGACGTGGGACTGGATCCCAGAACCCTCCTGGGATCATGACCTGAGCGGAAGGCAACCTCTTAACCAACTGAGCCACCCAGGTGCCCCAACAATACAGGACTTATTATAAGGAAATGAGCCTTGCAGAATGAGAATAGAGTAGGGGGACCTAAATGAGGGTCAAGTGAAACTGAGCCTCAGTTTCTGCATCTGTAAAATGGGGATAACAATACCAAACTCATGGGGGATTAAATGACATAATGCAGGTGAAATGATTGGCACGGGGTCTGGTGTACAGTAAATATGTACTAAATGGTGATTGTGATGATTTTCACAAAAGGATTGATGATGATGATGGTGATGATGGTGATGGTGATGGTGTTGGTGATGATGGGGATGATGATGTTGGTGCTGAGGATGATGGGGATGATGGGGCGGCAGTGGTGTATTACTTAGGGTAAGAAATGTCTGCCACTGAATATAGAGGTGAAAAGACCTCAGCCAGCCTCTTCTAGAATGGGAGAAAGAACAAGAGCCTCTCATCCTGCTTTTGTTCCCATCTCCTCTTCTCGTGGCTAATGCACATACCAAGCAGAGTTGCTAAAAGCCTTGGCAGAAGAGCCACAGGAGGACAGAGTGAGAGGAGAGAAAGCTCTCAGGGCCTCCAGGCCCCCCTCCCTATCACTCCACCAGCCCACTCGCTTGGGGACCCGGTGTGCCCTGGGACTCCTGAGAAGGACAGAGGAGCACGGGCTGAGGTGGGGGCTCAGGACTCAATGTTCTTCCCAGGCTGGGAGCACAGTGGGAGGGGGTGGTGGGCAATTAGAAGTTGGAACATCTGGGAGAGGCAGGCTGAAGAGCTGCGGAATCACATGTGTCACCTGAGGCACAGCCCTGCATCTACAGAAGACTGGTATCAGCACTCAGCAAATCTTTATTGTGTGCCTCTGTGCCTGGCACTGTGTTAGGCATCGGGGATCAGTAGCTGCAAAACGGAAGTAGCTGCTTTAAACGTTGCCCAATTCAAGATACTATTACTCTCTGAGTAAAAGCATTCGTAGTTACTTAGGCCAAATACTTTGGAACATGTTTGTCTCTTCTATTTCTCTGTCTCACACTGCTTATGCAAGCCATTGGCAATATACCTTTAATGTATATTTCAAATCCGACCACTTCTTACCACCTTCACCTTTATCACTCAAATCCAGGTGACCATTACCTCTTGCCTGGACTATTGCCGTAGCCTCCTGGCTGGACTCTCAAGAGTTCCCTCTCCCTGTGACAGCCAGAGTGAACCTTCTAAAACATAACCCTGCTTATGCTATTCGTCTGCTCAGAGCCTTCCTGTGGCTCCTTATTTGATTCTGAATTGAAGGCAAAGTTCTTGCAAAGACCTCCTAGGCAGTCATTGTCTTGCCTCTGGTCGCCTCTATAACTTCCGACTCTGAGAGCAATGAAGTGAAATCCACTTCCTGGAAAAGGCCAGAAGGAAAGACAACCTCAGGCCTCCTCCACTACTAGCAGATTTTCCAGTAAGCACAGTGTGACACAGTGTGACAGGCTCCCCATGTTGGACTCTGCATTAAATCGACAAATAGCAAGAACAATAGTGGGAAGTCAGAGGATTTTAAAGACATTCTTATAAGTAAAAGTTAAATAGAAGTTAAACATTACAGGGGCGCCTGGGTGGCTCAGTCGGTTAAGCCTCCAACCCTTGATCTCATCTCAGGTCTTGATCTCAGGGTCATGAGATTGAGACCCTGCATCAGTCTCTGCCCGGGGTGTAGAGCCTGCTTAAGATTCTCTCTCTCTCTCTCCCTCTGCCCCTCCCTCCGCCCCTCCCTCCTCCCTCTAAAACAAACAAACAAACAAAACCTGCTAAACTATTTTCCACAATGACTGTACCATGTCCACCAGCAATGTAGGAGAATCCCCATTCTCTACATCTTCACTAATATTTATTATTTTCCTTTTTTTTTTCAAGATTTTATTTATTTATTTTGATGGAGAGAGACAGTGAGAGAGGGAACACAAGCAGGGGGAGTGGGAGAGGGAGAAGCAGGTTTCCAGCTGAGCAGAGAGCCTGACATGGGGCTCGACCCCAGGACCCTGGGATCATGACCTGAGTCGAAGGCAGACGCCTAACGACTGAGCCACCCAGGTGCCCCTATTATTTTCCTTTTTAAAAATCATAGCTGTCCTAGTGGTTGTGAAATGGTATCTCACAATGCTTTTGAGTTTGTTTCCCTGATGACTAATGATGCTGAGCACCTTTTCGTGTGTTTATTGACCATTTGTATATATAATCCTTTGCCTATTTTTCAGTTGGTTTGTCTTTTTGTTGTTGAGTTACAAGAGTTAAAAAAAAAATTCTTGATACTAGACCCTTATCAGATATACGAATTGCAAATATTTTTTTCCCATTCTGTGGGTTGTCTTTTCATTTTCTTGTGTCTTTCGAAGCACAAACATTATTTATTTATTTATTTGAGAGAGAGCCCAAGAGAGAGCACAGTGGGGAGGAGCAGAGGGAGAGGGAGAAGCAGACTCCCTGCTGAGTGGGGAGCCCAACTCGGAGCTTGATCCCAGGACCCTGAGATCATGACCTGAGCCAAAGGCAGATGCTTAACTGACTGAGCCACCCAGGCACCCTAACGTTTTTAAATTTTAACGAAGTTCAATTTAATCTATTTTTTTCCTTTGGTTGCTTGTGCTTTTGGTGTCATATCTAAGAAACTGTTGCCTAATCCAAGGTCATAAAGAATTATGCTTATGTTTCTTTCTAAGAGTTTCATAGGTTGGCCTTTACATTTAGGTCTTTGGTCTATTTTTTTAGAGGGGGGAGGAACAGAGGGAGAGAGAGAGAGAGAGAAACTTAAGCAGGCTCCACGCCCATTGTGGAGCCTGAGGTAGGTCTCAGTAGCACACCCCTGAGATTAAGACCTGAGCCAAGATTAAGAGTTGGACACTTTTTTTTTTTTAAGATTTTATTTATTTATTTGACAGAGAGAGACACAGCGAGAGAGAGAACACAAGCAGGGGGAGTGGGAGAGGGAGAAGCAGGCTTCCAGCTGAGCAGGGAGCCCGATGTGGGGCTCGATCCCAGGACCCTGGGATCATGACCTGAGCTGAAGGCAGATGTTTAACCCAGGGGCCCCAAGAGTTGGACACTTAACCAACTGGGCCACTCAGGTGCCCCCAGTCTATTTTGAATTGATTTTTGTATATGGTGTGAGACTGGGGTAGAGTTTCTTTTCAGCTATTCTTCTGGTACCAGTAAAACTCCTGATTTTAATTACCAGGCTCAGCACAGAGGTAGCAGGCCCCAAACATTTCCATTGGGGTAGCATTTGATAGTTTAAACAACATTCTCTTATGTGATCTCTCCAGTACTCAAGTCAGATAATTACCCAATTTTAGATATAAGAAAACAGACTGGCAGAGGGTAAGTGAGTTGCCTAACATCATGTAGGAACCCAAATGGCAGAGTCAGAATCTGATACTGTGGGAGAGAACCCTGGAAAAGGAGATGGAAGTCCTGGGTCACGGTCTCAGTTCTGCCGCCTGTGTTCGTATGAACTTGTACAAGGCATGTCCCTCTAGGGGTCTCAATTTCATCATGGGTGGGCAAGGGAGTTGATCTTGGGTAACTGCAATAAAACTTTACTGAGCATCTAGGACATTCCAGGCTGTGCCAGGCACTTCAAATATAGCACCTCTAATTTTTTAAATAACATCACTAGGCAGGTAAATCTTCATTTCCCAGAAGAAAAAATGAAGACTCTGCAGTCAGTACCTGAGACCACTCAGCCTAGAAATGTCAAGACTGGGCCAAGAACCCAGCCTGTTTCCTCTTAGCCACGTATGCTTTTTGAGTCCGTGTCCTCATCAGTAAAGGCTAATTAGTATTCCTTCCTCCTAGGATTGTTGTGAACAATGTGGGCGGAGCCACTCATTCATGGACTGAATCCTTATGGAGCGCCTGCAAGACGTCAAACCCTGTTGTAGGCGAGGATAGAAGATAAGACAAAATCCCTGCCCTCACGGAGTTGACGTTCTAGCAGGGCGAAGGGAAACAGAACAAAAAAAGACATCTGCGCGCGCGCATACCCCCCCCCCCCCCCCCCCCCCCCCGGGTAATACCAGATAGTGATGAGTGCTAACAAAAAATAGCGTTGAGGGACACCTGGGTGGCTCAGTCGGTTAAGCGTCTGCCTGCTTTCGGCTGGGGTCAGGATCCCAGGATCCCAGGGGCCTGGAATCGAGTCCCCCATTGGACGCCCTGCTCAGCAGGGAGCCTGCTTCTCCCTCTACCCGCTGCTCCCCCTGCTTGTGCTCTGTCTCGCTCTCTTTGACAAGTAGATAGATAAAATTAAAAAAAACAAAAACCACAAAAAATAGCATGAAGTGGCCGTGGAATGAGAGCAATCGGAAGCAGTCACGGCGCTGAGAACGGAATGATCCGAAGGAGGCCGACGGTGGGAAATTTGGGGGCCGGCTGTTCAAGTAAAGGTTATGGGACTAGGTTAACGCAAGAAGTTTTTCTGTACTTCCACTATGAGCCAGCAACTGTATTGGGCAGAATGTTCAGAGGAGGATACAGTCCTGGTGGTCCAAGCGCTCACTGCGCAGGAGCGGACATCACAGAGCGGATCGTTCCTCCGCCGATGAAAGCGCGCATCTAATCAAGAGGTGAAACATTAATTTTTATCCATGTTTTTGCAAACGTGTCCAGCAGGCCCCGAAACATTACCTTAAGAGATCACTGACATGCCCAGGTTAGGGCTTTCGGTTTTTTCCTTCGCAGCTGCGGGCCCCTGTGGCTTCGATTCCCCGCTCCGGGCACCAGGGAGCGCTGTAATATTCTCAGTGTCCGCTGACGCCGCCGCGCTCTCTTCCCCTTTTCTTCTCGCTGCGCCGCACTTCCGGTGGCAAGCGGAAGCGGGGACTTGCAGCCGCGGGCGCCGGGGCCGGAGGCATGGCGGGGGCGGGGCTGGGGGAGGCTCGCGCCGAGCAGGCCGGGGGCTCCCTCTCCCCGGCCCTTTGAACCGGGACCGTACAGGTGAGGACTTCTCCTTTCTTGGGCCAGCCTCCAAGCTCGTCAGGCTTTCCTCGAGGCCTCCCCGGGTTCCCGACTCCTCCCCGCGAGACGCCGAGGCCCCGCGGCCCCCGCCCTCCCTGAGCGTTCCCTTCCCATTGAGGCCCCGCCCCGGGCTTCTCTTTCCGGGGGCGCCCGCTTGGGTGTGTATGCCCGCCCCTCGGTATCCCCTTACCGCTTTGGAAGCCGTCACAACTTACTGAGGGGTGTGTGCACCGACCGTCGTGGGGAAGCTGAGACGCAGCAAGGGGGAAAGGACTTGCTTAGTACCACACGACAAGCTTGTGGCCCCATTCAGCCAGGCTTTCTTCTTTCATTCATAAATAACGTACCGAACGCATACGAGGGGCCAGCCCCATTGCTAGGCTCTGAGAAAACTGTGGTGACCGAAGTGGACATGGTTGCTTCCTGTCTAGGGAGTACGGTGTAGTGGGGGACTCCCATCATTAAACACAGCCATGCAAGTAAAAGTAGGTATGCACATTGTGGCAGTTACTATGAAGAAGACAGAGAAAGTAATGGGGAGGCCTGCTTTGGAGAGAATGATCAGGGAAGACTTCCTGGGGAAGATGACACTTAGGCTGCAACTTGAGAAATTATGCAATGGCTCGGGGAAAGATGTCCTAAGCAGAGGGAACAGCCCCTGTGGATACCTCAGTTGGCAAAGAACTTGGAGTGAGGCAGGTCCAACGTACAGGAAATGAGGTTTAAGATGTTTCCAGTACGGTGATGGGGCGGACAGAATATGTGTACTGGTCAGTAGCTCACCATCTAGTGCCACAGGTAGGAGTAAAATGCAGAGGCAAAGTTGCAAGCATGACAGGTGTTGTGAAGGCAAGATATGGCTCTTAGGTTGGTATTTTAGCTAAGGGGGAGGTGAAAGAAGACTTCTCTGAGGAAGAGATAATTAGGTTGATGTCTGAAATTGGAGTTAGCAAAGGGAGGAGAAGAGCTTTTTTAGATTTCACTTAACAGCAAGTGCCAAGCTTCTGAGGCAGGAGGTAGGATCCCTGTTGAAGAAATGGTTAGAGTTGATGGGAAAAAATGGGGTTGGAGAGGCAGAGCTGAGACCTTTGAGTCCCTGATTGGCATGTTAAGGATTTTGATTCTGATCATAAACAGCAGTGGGAAGATACCATCCTGTTTTAACCAGTAGGGGAAAGGACGTGGTCACAAAAGCATTTTGAAAAGATGATTGGCTGTTGCAAGGAGTGGCTTTAGGTAGGAAACTGGTATAGTATCGCAGACATGAAATTATAAAAGTTTGGATAAGGGTACTGGCAGATTGTGATAGAGATAAGTGGAAGATTAGAGGGCTATTTAGTAGGAGAGAAAACCTCCAGAGTTTGTTGACTGATCAGGGGGCGGAGGGAAAGGTATCAAGGAAGACTCTCAGGTTTCTGGTTCCTGATAGGAGGAGAGTAGCTGGGCCATTCACTGGACTAGGGGAGCTGGGAGAGGGCCAGCTTTTGGGAAAATATCATGTTATTCTGACTCTTTTTTTCATAATAATTCTCACAGTGACTAGAAGGCTCTTTCTTTCTTTTTCTTTCAGGAAAGATTTTATTTATTAGAGAGAGAGAGTGAGTGAACAAGAGAGAGAGCACAAGCAAGGTGGAGAGGCAGAGGTGGAAGCAGACTCCCCGCTGAGCAAGGAGCCCAATTCGGGGCTCAATCTCAGGACCCCAGGATCATGCTCTGAGCTGAAGGCAACCGCTTGACTTGACTGAGCCACCCAGGCGCCCCAAAGGGACTTTCATTTCATACTTTTTCCGTAGTGTTTGAGTTTTTATGAGCATGTATTATTTTTATAATCAGATCAATAAGAGAACAAGTTGAAAAAGTCTTAAATAACTCCACCATGTCTCTAAAAATCACAATTGTGTGATATAAAATAGTGTGTGTGTGTGTGTGTGTGTGTGTGTGTGTGTAGGGAGAGGGAGAGAGAGCATGCATGCTGAAGGAGGTGTTAGGAAATTCAGTGAGGATTTTCTGTACAATTTGGAGCTGAAGCTAACAGGTCCTCAGCTCCGCTTACCCTACACTCTCACACCTTTCACCCCAGTTACTGGTGTCTTTCCCCTAAGAAGACAAATCAGAGAATTTAAGATGGGTCTATACAAAGTGTACATCAATTTTCTTAGAATTAAGCATCTGTTTTGCTTAATATGATCAGTGGCTCTTTCTAAGTTGAACCACTGTAGTATACTTGATCCCACTCAGCAATTTGTCTGCTAGATGGTATTTCATGCCTAGTCCTCCCATTCCTGGGCCTTATCTGCCTTTGTCTTCCCATTCTGGTCACCCTCTCTGACTCTAGCCCCCATCTTAGGTTGGCAGGGTTGCCCTGGGCAGGGATTGAGTGAAGCAGTTTTGTATGTTATTTGGTATTTTGAAATGCTTAAATCTTAATAGTGTGTTTTTTTAGGCTGTATCAGAATAGCCACAGCAACGGTGTCACTGTTACAAGGAGTAGCTGTGTGAAATTCAGTATATTTGTTGTTCAGATATGGAGGATATTGCTCACTTTATCAAGCCAAGGTCCTCTGAGAAAACTTATGAGAGAGATTGCTTTTAACAGTGGCGGGAAGAGCTGTGCTTCTTCCAAGCATCTATTTTCTGTCTTATTGGCTGTGCAGATTCTGTAACTGTTTTTTCCTTTTTCTTTGTCTGCTGAGAAAAATCAGGGCCAAATTAGAAGCTTGGCAGTTCTGCAGGTCCACATGGTATGCGTTTCTCTGTACATCAGGCTTCATCTTACTGTCCTACCTTAGTGTTCTCTTCACGATGATTGTTTTCTAATTAAAAAAAAAAATTTGAGGGGCGCCTGGGTAGCTCAATCGTTTAGCATCTGCCTTCGGCTCGGGTCGTGATCCCAGGGTCCTGGGATCGAGCCCCGCATCGGGCTCCCTGCTCGGCGGGAGGCCTGCTTCTCCCTCTCCCACTCCCCCTGCTTGTGTTCCCTCTCTCGTTGTGTCTCTCTGTCAAATAAAATCTTTAAAAAAAATTTTTTTTTTTGAGTAAGTACAAATAATACTTTAAAAGTATATGTAATCTTTAGGGGCGCCTGGGTGGCTCAGTCGGTTAAGCGACTGCCTTCGGCTCAGGTCATGATCCTGGAGTCCCGGGATCGAGTCCCGCATCGGGCTCCCTGCTCGGCGGGGAGCCTGCTTCTCCCTCTGACCCTCCCCCCTCTCATGTGCTCTCTCTCTCTCTCATTCTGTCTCAAATAAATAAAATCTTTAAAAAAAAAATAAATAAAAGTATATGTAATCTTTAAAGAATGACAGTACAGTGAATGCTGATTCAAGAAAAAATGCAACCTCAGAGCTGCCAGTGTGTCCCAATCCCCATCCCATTTCTTACTTCTCACAGGTAACCACTGTTCTGAATTTTATGTTTATAAATTCCTTTGCTTTCTGTAATTGTATACCATATATATTGATAGCCTTAAACTAGAAATTGTTTGGAGCTTATATAAAGAGAATCACATAAAAATATTCTGCTGCTTGCTTTCTTCAGTCATTGTTGTGTTCTGAGATTCATTTAGGTTGTTATATATAATTGTAGTGCATTGATTCATTGCTTCATAAGATTCCACTGCATGAGTATGCCTGGAAGAATTGATCTAGTCTTCTGTTCATGGGCATTTGGAGTGTGGTCAGTTTTTGCTGTTGCTAACAATCCTGCTGCAGACATTCATGTTACTCATGTGCAGACATTTCTCTAGATCAGGGTTTTTCATCCTTAGCACAATTGACATCTTGGTCTAAATGTGGAAGGCTGTCCTGTTTACTGTAGGATGTTTGGCAATACTCCTGGCTTCTATTTGCTGGACACTCATAACATCCCTCCTTCCCAAGTTAGGACAACCAAACTGTCTCCAGATGTTACAGAATTGCCCCAGTTAGGAACCAGTGCTCAAGATCAGCTGTTGGCAAACTTTTTCTGCAGGGGGCAAGACAGTAATTATTTCAGATTTGTGGGCCACGTGGTCTTTGGTCTCAACTAATCATCTGTGCCTTTGTAGGACAAAAGCAGCCATAGGTAATGTGTAAATGAATGGGAATGGCTCTGTTCCAATAAAAATTTATTTACAAAAAACAAGCAGACAGACAAGATTTGACCTGAGGTCAGGCAGTAAGCACTCTCTTGCTGTAGTCTAGATCAGTAGGAAATATATTTTATATCCTCACCCAGTGCATAGAATTCATATATGCAATTGAAACAAGTTTCGTGAAAGAGTATTTGCCCTTACTATGTGTGATACAATGTGGTATTTTTTATTTTATTCCACTTTTTAAAATGTCAACTGTATCCACTAAATTGATTTCAAGGCCTCATTAATGAGTTGTGACTAGCAGTTTGATAAATTTAGTTTGGTCAGTCATAGAGGTATGCACATCTTTAACTTGACTAGATAGCATCTATACTTACATAAAGCATTTCAGATTCCTTTTAGAAGGAAACAATATATACAAATACCACATTGTGTGTTATGTTTTTATTTCTAAAATATAGATTGGATCAGTTACTCCCTTGCTTAAAATGTATAATAGCTGGTGTGGCGTGGAGGGGCCTGTAAAGTGTTTTCCAGCCTGGCTCCAGTCTACTTTTCTGGGTTTCTCTCTTATCACTCACTCTGTGCTTCCTGGGCTCTAACCACTTGGGATTACTCTGTTTCCCAAATGTATCATGCCACACTCCTTCCAAGTGTATTTTTTAGGCTTCCTTCTTTCTGAAATGTTCCTCTTTTACTTTGCCTAGTGAATTCTTGATCCTGCAAGGCCCATGTTGGAATGTTGCTCCATTCATTCATTTAACATGTTTATGAGCACTTACTGTGCTTCAGGTACTAGGTGATGGGATTCACCTAGAATTGGGCAGGGTCCCTGGGGTCGGTGTGTGGTGACAGATACTACAAAGTAAACAAGATAATTTCAAAATGTGATGAGGGCTGAAGAAAATAAAATAGGGTAGAATGAGGGTTGATATGGATGGGAAGGTAGGGAAAAATCTGAAGAGTTGCTTTTTTAGCTGAGATTTGACTCTTTACCCAGAAGAGCAGTTCAAAAACGTTCTGCTTCCTTTTGGTCTCCACAGTTTCTCAAGAAATCCACAGACATTTGAATTGTTCCCCTCCAGGTAATATATCATCTACCTGGTTGCTTATAAGATTTCTACTTTGTGTTTTAGTTTTTAAGTTTGACTGTAATGTGTCTGGGCATGGGTTTCTTTGGGTTTATCACATTTGGGGTTCTCTGAACTTCCTGAATCTTGAGTTAACATCTGTGAGGGTTTGTTTCTGGATTTTCTATTCTATTCCATTGTTATATTTGTTTTTAAGCCAGTACCACACTTTTTTTTTTTTTTTTTTTAATTACTTTCGCTCTGTAATATGTTTTGAAATCAGGAAGTCTGAGTCTTCCAACTTTGTTCTTTTACAAAATTGTTTTGGCTGTTTGGGGTTCCTTGAGATTACATGTGCGTTTCAGGATGAATTTTTCTGTTTTTTCAAAAAACACCATTGGGGTTTTGTTAGGGATTGCATTGAGTTTATAGATTGCTTTGGGTAGTATGGACTTTTTTTTTTTTTAAAGATTTTATTTATTTGAGAGAGAGATCACAGAGGGAGAGGGAGAAGCAGACTCACTGCTGACTGATCAGAGAGCATGATGCGGGGCTTGACCCCAGGACCCCGAGATCATGACCTGAGCCAAAGGCAGCCACTTAACTGACTGAGCCACCCAGGGTAGTATGGACATCCTAACAGCCAGTAAATACATTTCTTTAATGAGCGTGCACTAAATGTTACTCTTACACTGAACAAATTTGATGTAATTCTATGTTTATTCTGTTGGATATTCCCAACAGCTAAGAGTGCTTCCTAGTGAATTAGGTCCTTCCCTCAAACCTGTTTTTAGAATCAGATATGTCAGGACCATTTTCTGACTATAATCTAGGAAGGAGAAATGCTGATCACTGTCACCCTGCGAGTTCTTAGGTCCGGGGTATAAGGAGGAAAATCTCTTTGACTTGTGTATATTTATGTTTTGGTCAATTTTGTTTTGCTTTCTTGACTTCACTTTTCCACGCAGAGATGTGATAATGGATCATCATGTTTCCACCATCAAACCTCGAAGAATCCAGAACCAAAATGTCATTCACCGCTTGGAACAGCGACGAATCAGCTCAGGCAAGGCAGGTACCCACTGGCATCAGGTCCGAGTATTCCACCAGAATGTCTTCCCCAACTTCACAGTCGTCAATGTTGAAAAGCCTCCTTGTTTCTTGCGTAAATTCTCGCCTGATGGGCGCTACTTTATTGCTTTCTCTTCAGACCAGACCTCTCTTGAAATCTATGAATACCAGGGCTGCCAGGCAGCTGAGGACTTACTGCAGGGCTATGAGGGGGAGATCCTGTCCAATGGCAATGACCAGCGGTCAGTCAACATCCGCGGCCGGCTCTTTGAACGCTTTTTTGTCCTGCTGCATATTACCAACGTAGCTGCCAACGGGGAGCACCTGAACCGAGAGTGTAGCCTCTTCACCGACGACTGCCGGTGTGTCATCGTGGGCTCAGCTGCCTACCTCCCGGATGAGCCGCACCCTCCTTTTTACGAGGTGTATCGGAACAGTGAATCTGTGACCCCCAACCCACGGTCCCCTCTGGAGGACTATTCCCTTCACATCATTGACCTTCACACTGGCCGCTTATGTGATACCCGCACCTTCAAGTGTGATAAAGTGGTCCTGTCGCACAACCAAGGGCTGTACTTGTACAAAAACATCCTGGCCATCTTGTCGGTGCAGCAGCAGACGATCCATGTCTTCCAGGTGACCCCTGAAGGCACTTTCATTGATGTGAGGACCATCGGCCGCTTCTGCTATGAAGATGACCTCCTCACCGTGTCAGCCGTTTGCCCGGAGGTGCAGCGGGACAGTCAGACGGGCATGGCCAACCCTTTCAGAGACCCCTTCATCAACTCCCTGAAACACCGACTGCTCGTGTACTTGTGGCGCCGGGCAGAGCAGGATGGTAGTGCGATGGCCAAGAGGCGCTTCTTCCAGTATTTTGACCAGCTGCGGCAGCTGCGCATGTGGAAAATGCAGCTTCTGGACGAAAACCATCTGTTTATCAAGTACACCAGTGAGGACGTGGTAACCCTGCGGGTCACAGATCCATCACAGGTATGAAGTGCTCTCCTCCCATCTCCTTGGTAAAATGGGAAAGTTTCTCTTTGCCTATAGCCAGCCTCTCAGAATTCGCGTTTTCCATGCTCTTGAATTTTTGTTATCTTGGGCCTCAAACTTAAAATAGCTCCATTTTTCTCGGCCACATGTACTTATTTGGACAAATGGAAGCTAAAACTCAAGTCATTGATATGTGAGGTGGTCAGCTCGGTGATTATTACCCTAATTCTTCTGCAGAGCATTTTCAGTTCCCTTGAGAAAGAAGCCCAAGTGCTACAGGGTCAAAGTTTGGACTACCGGTGGATAATCCTGCCTTGACTTTGTGAGACTGTGCTTGTTGGTCTGACTGCTTTAGATCTAGGAGTGAGAATGAGCCCACCATACCGAAAAATTTTTCTAAAAATTTGGCCTTTCCTGCTTAAGTGGTTAATGTCAGTATACTTCTTCATAAAATCCTTAGGAGGTAACTAATAGGTAAGTTAATCTGGCAGTTAAGTTTTATGACTTTACCCTGACCTTGCCCATGTGCTGGACCATAGGCTGTAGAGCAGTGAAAAGATTAAAAGGAAGCCGAAACTTCTGATCCCCCAAGTGAATCATCAGGACTGTAGGTCCTAGGGTATTTCAGTTTGGATGAAAGATCTTGGAGGGGAGAGAGCTGTTTCTCAAATGGGAATCAAGTGGTGTTAAGGGCACAGAAACCTTCCAAGACTCTTGGGTTGAAACACCGTGTTGTAATTCAGGCTATTTTGGGGCATTTCTCTTTGAGAAGCTCTCCACTTTAGTGTTGGTTGAGAAAGAGACCTACCTTTCCGTACTTTTGCTCCCTATTCTCCTGTTTACAGAATGTCTCCTTAGATAACAAGTTTGGGGATTCAGAATAGAGAGCAAACCAGTCAGCCACAAAGAGGGCTGAGCCTCGTATCTTCCACTGACTTGCAGTTGGTTCTGTCATAGGAGACTGTGGAGGACACTATTTCCTAAGACCTTACCAGCCATCCATGGTAAAATGCTTTCCAGTATTTTTCTTTTGAATCATAGCTTGCATATTCTAAAAAAAGGTGGGTGGTGGGGAGTAATATGGTTGGAGATTAGTTTTTCTGGATTCTTTTCTTCCCTATTAATGATGAAGTTGCCCATTGAACCATCACAAATGAGCGTCTGGTCCATCTTATGTGTCATGGGAGATTAGTAGTGACACCCTTGACTTCTGTCCCCTTCTGTATTTCCCAGTCTGCCCTGGAGGGAAGGCTAGTAAGGTATGTGTAATTTTATATTCACATATTTATGATGGATCTTGGTGGAGCCCTGAGAGGGTTAAAGTGTTGTCCAGGTCTATAGAAAGGACATGAGTCAATCTTTTATTTAGGTTTGAGCTATAATTACCTTTGTCATTTGGAGGGAATAAGTTGTCTCTGATAGCCGCATTTGAGATTATCCTTCTTCCCTTTGCTAAAACATGACCCACTTATTTCTGGTAGCTCTAATAAATTTTGGCTAGACTCAGTACTAGTGCTCAGTGTTTTGCTTACAGAGCTTGTAATTTTAAACCCAATTTGCCCTAGTTATCCTCCTACCCCCTTCCCCAGTTTAATTTGATAGGTTCCAATAAGGTTAATGAGAAAAAGTGCATCTACACACAAAGCCCTGCTAATATTATGGGTATTATTCTCAGGTTACTCTCCAGCCTCTTTAATTTACAGCCATATTTAATTTCCAGGTGACTGCAGAAGTCATGTAATGAAAGCTCTGGGAATGACTAATGACTAGTAAAACAGGTGGGCCATGTGGCTCCAGGAATTGATGATGGAGACTTAAACTCCATCGTAGGAGGGGGAGTACTAATCTTAACGTTCTGAAAACTTCTAGAATCCTGTTGAAAGCTTGCAGATTGATTCACATTGCCACATTCATTGGGACAAAACCCAGGGGTTCCTGGAGCTTCCCTGTTAGGCAGAGCAGAGCACTGATGGTTTAGAGGGCTAGTCACCCAGGGGCCCATTCAGGGAAGGTAGTAACTCTGCCACCTATGGCATTTGAATGCTTTTCAGGTTCTCCCTTTGATCTTAATTGCTACAAATCTCAAGTGTATCTTCCAAATGCTCCTGGCTGAAAGAACATTTATGAAGAAAGAAAGGAAAATGCCTCCCTGATTTTTCATTTGTTCAGCAGCAGTTCCCTGCTTGGTTACAACTTGCCTGGGCAGTTTTAGGACACAGTGTACTTCAGGTGTCTCTCTGCATGTTAGAAATCTTAAGAGGGAAAATAAATGTCCCTAAATTGAACTTTCAACTGTACATATACAAGAGAAAATAATTTGCCAACAGGCAGCCACAGGCGACCAATCACTTTCTCAGCAGGGGAAAATTAAATCTGGCATTTTAAAAAAGTGCTTTTTATTTCAGGCTGGGTTGAGGAGCAAGTAGGAAATAAATACTAGGAAGGAAAAATGTTGAATTTGCAGAGTAAGAAATGAAAGATTGGAACCCTTTCTACACGTATACGCAGGCCAGCTCAGTAATTCTAGCAGCACAGATATGGTGGTAAATCCAGCAGTACTGGCCATGACTGATGGCCCTTGAATGATAAAGTGCACCGAGGCTTCCTCCTCTCCCAGAACCACCTGGAGCCATGTTTTTATGCTAGTGTGGGAGCAGAAGTGTTTGCTTGTTTCACTTGTTTGAATTCTCAACCAAGTGGTAAGTTTCCAAGGCATGGCAGTATACCTAGCTGTCTCATAGCTCTCCCTGTTCTTCTGCAGGCATCTTTCTTTGTGGTATACAATATGGTGACAACAGAGGTGATTGCCGTGTTTGAGAATACATCAGATGAGCTTCTAGAACTCTTTGAGAACTTCTGCGACCTCTTCCGTAACGCTACCCTACACAGTGAAGTCCAGTTTCCCTGCTCAGCTTCCAGCAACAATTTTGCAAGGCAGATCCAGCGCCGGTAAGCTCTTCCACTGGGCTTAACAGACTTAATTTTTCTTTAGACAATCCATGTCCTCCAAAAAACCCTTTCTGTATTCTCTCTGCCCACCTCGCTTTGGTTTGGTCTGCCTGTTGTAACCCCTTGGGTCATCCTGAACCTCTTTCTGTCTCTCAGCACCTGTGGAATTACTTGTGCATTATCTGTGATTCGTCCTAGAGGAAGGAGAGCTCTAAGAGCTGTAGAAAGATAGAGACCGTGTCTTTATTATTTATTGCTGTATGTTCATGATGTCCTATCAAGCATTTAAGTATTTTTTGAGTGAATGACTAAGGAAATAATTTTAGAACTTTTGGTTAAACATGATGTGTTGAACACATGTGTTTGTTTCTGCTCCACCCCCAAACCCCACTAAAATGACAATAAAGGAGTAAGAGGTGTAAATATAACAAGAGCAAAGAGAACGGGAGAGGAGAGACATTGGAGACAGGAGATGATTGGCGACAGAAGAGAGCTCTGAATCGGTGTTGGGAGCTGAGAAGCTAACTGATCATCGGCAACCAACTTGGCACACTTCAGAGAACAAAAACTTAAGACTGCAGAGCTTAGTCATCAAGAAACAAGTTGCCTTGCTCTGGAGAACTCTGGAAAGAGTTGGAGAATTGGAGGCCCTAGGTACCTCTGAAGAAACCTAAGATGTAGTCTTAAACAGGAGGATTGGGTGAAGGTCTGGAAAGGACTAATCAGGCCCTCTAGCCCCCTTCTCTAAGCTACTCTGCCAAGTGACTGTCTTTTCCTCACTTCCGCAGAAGGCTGGAGGTTTAGTCTCTGGAGAAACTGAACCATGTAGGCTCTGGTTTCACGTTCATGAGGAACAGCTGAGGTAAGGATGAGATTTGTCATGCTAAAAACAAGAATTAAGTGAAAACCAACAAACTGAAAGTAAGATTCCTGTCCCCTTTATCAGATTTGGCAGCCAGGCTTATGCTCCTCCCGGAGGAGGTTAGAGATTTTTCCTTAGGGAAATTGACCAACCCAAAGAAGAGACCTTCAGATGTTCATACTTGGAGTCCCTCCACAAACACCTGGGTCACTCTAAATTAATACCCCCCATCAGCCAGGTCTTCCTATGAACCAGAGTTTCAGATGTAATTATCTGAGTATATTATTGTGAAACGAATGGTTACTTTGGGCCATTGGCCCAAGCTGAATCCTACTCTAGTCAGTCAGTGCCTTATTGGATGCCACAAACTAAATTGCTCTGCCAACTCTAGCCAGTTAGGGAAAATACCTGCTTTAGATTTCAAGATAGGTCAGACCAGAGTGAACAGATGACTCAGAATGAGCATCACTGCCACTGGAAAAAATGAACTGCAGATACATTAATGTAGTGTCATCATCTTTATATAAAAGCATAGTACTCAGTTAGAAATAGATGGATATTGGTTTTCAGACAAGTTACTTGCCTTTTCCTTTTTCTCTGGTTCACATAAATTTTCTGCCTTATAAGCATTTCTGTTCGGTATAGAAGGATTTTTGGAGGCAGAACATGGATCAGAACTTGCTTTTTTCATTTTGGAATGAATTTTCTTCTTTTTATTATTTTTTTTAAAGATTTATTTATTTTGAGAGTAGGGGGAGGGGCAAAGGGAGAGGGAGAGAGAGACTCTTAAGCAGACTTTGCACTGAGTGCAGAGCCCAGTGAGGGGCTGGATCCCACAACCCTGAGATCAGGACCTGAGCTGAAACCAAGAGTTGGACACCTAACCAGCTGTGCCACCCAGGTGCCCCTGAATTTTCTTCTTCTTCTTCTTTTTTTTTTGTAAGATTTTATTTATTTGTCAGAGAGCACAAGCAGGGGGAGCGGCAGGCAGAGGGAGAAGCAGGCTCCCCACCGAGCAAGGAGCCCGACATGAGACTCGATCCCAGGACCCTGAGATCATGACCTGAGCTGAAGGCAGATGCTTAACTGACTGAGCCACCCAGGCGCCCCTGAATTTTCTTCTTTTAAGATAGCTTTAAAATCAGGCAGATCATTATCAACTAGTTACAAAGCTGGGTACAGCTGGCTGAGACAAAATATCAAGTCACTAGAAGTAAACTCCCATGAGGGCAGAGATTCTAGTCTGTTATATTCACTGCTGTACCCATAGCACCTAGGCCAGTGTCTTTCATGTGGGAGCAGCTCATTATGTGTTTGTTAAATGAATAAAATCACCCAGTAATTAGAAGAAGCTGTTTTTTGAGAGTTATTTCAGAATGCATCTGGAATTACGTGAAATTGTAGGAACTCAGGAGGAGAAGATAAAGGTTGAGAAGAAAGGTGGAGTTCCAGCTTTGTGATCCTCAGAATTTTGTATCATACCACCAAAAGATTTTGATCAACTGTAGATATCCTCATACATTAATTTTTACGTTGATCTTAAAATTTTTTTGCTGTTAAATTTGAATAATTGCAGAAAATGCAATTTTCAGTGTATATTTAATACTGATTTTTTTTTTTTAAAGATTTTATTTATTTATTTGAGAGAGAGAAAGCACATGAGAGGGGGGAGGGTCAGAGGGAGAAGCAGACTCCCTGCCGAGCAGGAAGCCCGATGTGGGACTCGATCCCGGGATTCCGGGATCATGACCTGAGCCGAAGGCAGTCGCTTAACCAACTGAGCCACCCAGGTGCCCTGTTCTCATTCTTA